GTCGATGTGCTGGTTACCGCCGTAGTAGCGGGCACCGGGGTAGCCCTCAGAGTACTTGTTGGACATGGGGGAGCCGAGGGCATCGAAGACGGCGCGGGACGTGACGTTCTCGGAGGCGATGAGGATGATGGACTCGCGCTGGCGCTGAATCTCGTCCTTCTGTAGAGGGGAAGCTCTGTCAGTGTTGTGTCTTATCGAAGAGGGCGGGCTGCGTTGTCGATCGTACCATGATGGCGGCGACCTCGGGGTCAGTCTCAATGAGAGACTTCTCGAGCATCTATCGGTGAGTCAGTATGAGTGTCTCGACAAATTGGCATTGGCGTTCAGATCCAGGTAGACGTACCTCCTTGTGGGAGTTGCTGAGAGCGTAGGTTGAGCCATTGGCAGCCATTGTGAAGGTATGGTAGTGGGATGGAGGGGTCGGGAGGAAGATGGTCTTGAAGACTTGGGTTTAGGAAGGGTTTCACGGGACCCTGAAGAAGCTTTATAGACCAAGAAGGAGGGGCGAGAGGCTGGCGGGCGAACGAGGGAGAAAAAATTCACTGGATCGGAGGGTGTAGGAGAGTCGAACGCACGAAGAGGGGAGGGTGGGGTAGCGAGGGGCACTGAGTGATTGGCGGGGTCCTAGTGGGGTGACTCGCTAGCACGGCGAGCACCCTCCGATCGCGTCCTCCTGGGCGACTCGGTGAACCCAACGTTTTGGTCGGTGAGTCATCAAGGTGCTCGCTCGAAGCAATCGACGAGCGATCTCAATGGAACGGACGTCGAGGCCATAATTCAGGATATTTTGTTCGTACTCCAGGGCCATCCGCAGTTGTGCAAAGCAAGCGTGCGGGGCTCGAAGAGCTCTGGCTTCAGAGTGATGGGCCACTGTGACTGGCTGAGCTTCGGGTTGGCACTTTCTTCCATTGCCCAGCCGTCCTTGAAGCAAATTCCCTCGACCACCGAATTTGACAATATGTAGCGCATGTACTTGTCATGTCTCACTCGCAGTATCGCACACCTACCAAGTCACACAAGAGCAAAGCCATTGGGCGACGATTGCCTCTCCTCATTATGCCGAAACCTTCATTAGCAGCCTATAGGTCGGAGTCGCGAAGCAATGTCCTCTTCTCATATACCCTTCCAATTAGGTGAAACACTAAGATGGCCTACCTACCTTACCTTAGATACCTAGGTACCTCAGGCACGTTGGAACGTTGCCATGACTTGGTGACTGACTGATCATGCAAATTGAACCGCCATGACTGTGCAGTAGGTCCCACTCCTTAGATATCACCCAGTATTGGTTCTACAGACAAAGCGTCAATCTTCCATGGTTGCTCGGAACGGACGTGGGCAATTGACAGTGATCATAAACCCCATGCACTCTCAGCTCCTATTTGATTATCAGGTTACTATCCATAATCCAATCAGCTGCAACACCTCGACACTACTCGATGAGATGGAGTCCACGACCTAGTGTCACGCAAGCCACACCGACCTGTTGTGTCTTGCCACCCCTTCGCGTTGAATTCTGTTTCCTTGCTGAAATTACAACAAGTTGTTGCAAAATAAGATCTTGATGCATGGTACTGGTTGTCCAGGCTTGGAGACTGCCCAGCGGACATGGCCAGGAATCATAGGCCGGTCGTCCCGAATAGAAAACAACTTGCTCACGCCAGCAGCCCAGTCAGCGGGTTTTGGTGCGCTAACCTCAACAAAGCTATGCTTGAATAAGCTCACAATTCCCAAAAGCATCTTGATGGATTTCAATTTGCAAACCCATCTCTACCTTGATGTCAATGACCAGAGGAATTGTGGCACAGCGTCACGCGCTCCTCTTGGCGGCAACGCTGTTACCCCCCAGGCCCGCCCCCAGTCGCCTTCCCCAGCAAGTTAGCACCGCCACCGGGATACCTCGTGAGCGACACTGATGAGACTCCGAACCGGACCTGCGTCATTGCTGTGCTGCAGCCACTCAAGAACGTCACCGTCGCCAGGCACCCACCGGGCCAGCCCCACTGCCAGCCGATACGTATTGCCACAGTGTCACCGTGCCCATTGAGCAATACCCACACTATAAAGGACTGCTTCCTGCTAAACGATTCCCTACTACTCTCTGGTGGGAGCCAGCTGGGTTACTAAAGCTGAAGAAAAGCGAACTATGCAGGAATATACCGGCTTATCGCTCTATGGCTATTAGACTACTTTGCGCAAGCATAGATGCTGAATTATGATTTAAAACTCGATAGGGTGATGCTCACAAGACTCAGAAATCAAGTCACGAAATGGTACTGATTGGTCACGATGACACAGTGCAAACCGGCCTACAAACGGTCTCTAGCCAGTGCGAGCGTTACCCCGGTCACAGCTGTTTTAGCTGCACCCGGCCCAGGCCCAGGCACAACACGCACGCACGCAAGCAAGCGCCACCTCCCCCGGCCCAGCACCTGAGCTCCCTCTCCACCCGCTCGTCCCTCTTGTATCCTGCTTCTTGTGTCATTGTCCACCCGACCCTCTCCTCTCTCCTCCTCTTGACTTCCCATCTTCATCAACCACCACCTCTTCCGACCGATCTCATAATCCACATCCCATCACCTCGTAGGATCCTCGCGCCCATAGCGAGACTGCCTAACATGAAGAGCACTCTTATCGCAGCTGCGCTGCTCGGATCCGCTTCCGCCGAGATCCACAAGCTCAAGCTCAAGAAGGTCCCCATTGAGGAGCAGCTGGTATGTCACTCCCAACCGGCACCATGATGCGACTATGCGCGAGACTAACCTGGGCCTTTCCATCCACCAGACCTCCGTCCCTATCGAGACTCAGGTCCAGCAGCTTGGTCAGAAGTACATGGGTGTGCGCCCCCAGAGCCATGCCGACTACATGTTCAACAGCAAGCCGGTTCAGTCCGATGGCAACCACAATGTGCCCGTGAGCAACTTCATGAACGCTCAGTGTACGTTTCGCAGCCTCCAACCCCTCAACGACCCAATATGCTGACAGGCGCCAGACTTCTCCGAGATCACCATTGGAACCCCCCCTCAGACGTTCAAGGTTGTTCTTGACACCGGCAGCTCCAACCTCTGGGTTCCCTCCCAGCAATGCAGCAGCATTGCGTGCTACCTGCACACCAAGTACGACTCTTCTGACTCGTCCACGTACAAGGCCAACGGCTCCGAGTTTGAGATCCACTACGGCTCCGGCAGCCTGACTGGATTCGTCTCCCAGGACACTGTCACCATTGGTGACATCAAGATCAAGAACCAGGACTTCGCCGAGGCCACTAGCGAGCCCGGCCTGGCCTTTGCCTTTGGTCGCTTCGATGGTATTCTCGGCCTCGGCTACGACACCATCTCGGTCAACAAGATCGTCCCTCCTTTCTACCAGATGGTGAACCAGAAGGCCGTTGACGAGCCCGTCTTTGCCTTCTACCTCGGCGACACCAACGAGCAGGGTGACGAGAGCGAGGTCGTCTTCGGTGGTGTTGATGAGTCCCACTACGAGGGCAGATCACACGATCCTCTCCGCCGCAGGCGTACTGGGAGGTCGACCTCGACTCGATCAGCCTCGGCGATAACACGGCCGAGCTCGACGGCCACGGTGCCATCCTCGACACCGGCACGTCGCTGAACGTCCTCCCCTCGACCCTGGCCGACATGCTCAACAACGAGATTGGCGCCAAGAAGGGTTACAACGGCCAGTGGTCGGTCGAGTGCGACAAGCGCGCCAGCCTGCCCGACATCACCTTCAACCTTGCTGGTTACAACTTCAGCATTTCTGCCTACGACTACATCCTCGAGGTGTCCGGCAGCTGCATCTCGACCTTCCAGGGCATGGACTTCCCCGAGCCCGTGGGCCCCCTCGTCATTCTTGGCGACGCCTTCCTGCGCCGCTGGTACTCTATCTACGACCTCGGCAAGAACACGGTTGGTCTGGCCAAGGCCAAGAAATAAACGGACAGCCGTCTTCATGTAGCCATAGGAACATGCGAATTGATTGAATCCGAGCGTCATTCGACAGCTTGCTGCATCAACAGGGACGAGAGGGGTCGACAGGCTTTCTTATATTTCTGTAGTCAGAGAGAAGATGCGGTTGGAGGACGCGCGGAGAACATGAGCGCTTTTCTTTTGTAGGCATGGACAGGTAGTCTAGTAATATCTCATTGACGCAGCATCTTGCTTGGGACCAGTGGGGAGATTGTAACATTCGTGACAGTCGTGACATTCTGACCCAAATTCCCAGCAGTGCACACAAAATGCGCTCGCACGAGGAATCGAATGCGAAGCATACCTCGGTAGTCTGCGATAATTGTGTAGGCGACCTTCGCTTCGGTAAGGGTGATGAATAGCACGAACTCAGAGTGTTAAGGCTTACGCGTTCTTACTTCAGTTAGAATTGGGCACCACTCTGGCATGCAGTTGATGGCGCTCATCGCCGTCGATTTCCTTCTCGACATGAACTCAGATGCATCATATGTCCACCAGGCACACACCCACACACACACCCACACACACACCCACTCATCGCGTATCATTGAGCCAGTGGGAGCCAATTGTTATTAGGTATCAGGTGCCTGTATAGCTTTTGTAAGTGCACAGCAGACTGAGGCTGAGGACGATGCGCACCTGGATCACGTGGTGTCCCACTGGCCCAGCCGGGATGGGCTTAGCGTGAAGTGCTCTAGCGCGTTATAGGCTTTTGTATGCATGGGGCCCATCAATGGACGGACACAGAGACAAGTCCCTGCCTGGTGTGGAACTGATCCTGGACAGTCAGTCTTCGTACTCCATTCCCGTGTCTAGACGCAATTTGCAACTAAGGCTGGCCTTCTCGTTGGATTCCATCGGTCGACTTGCCCTCTGAATGGTCCTGCACCTTCTTGCATCGATTGCGGTTCATCAGACGCGACTTTTCCGACCGCAAAGGCGAGCCTTGGTGGCCTGTTGCCGTAACGATTGACCACCACTAGACCTTTTGGCGTTCCACCAAACGACCCTTACGACGACGCACTGGCGGCCGCTCGGTGAATGAACCAGAGCGCAGCGCAATTGCCAGCGCGCGCGTCCCCGTCGCGACAAAGTCCAGGCGCACCAAACCACCATCGACGCCCGCCATCGCGAACCACCCCCGTCCGCCATCACAACGAACGGACCCGCCACCACGACCATCATCGCCCGCGCAACCGCAACCGCTACACGACACGCCGATTGATTCTAGGCGCGTCGCCGCCCCCTCTGTCATCGCTTTTCCCCCGTCAAAATGGGCGCAGCCCACGCCATCCTCTTACACCGGCAACGCTGCTCGTCGTCGCCGCTGACGCAGCTCTGACCACATCGGCACCCCGAGTCCGGTCACTCCAACGTCCCCGTCAAGAGAAAACGCGAGGACGACGAGCACATGAAAGGACGACGACGACGACGCCGCTTGATGCCCGATGCCGACATGGACATGGACGATACACAAACCACCAAAAGAATTCAAAGGACCCGCAATCCATCCATTCGTGACTACTTCAAAAGTCCTCACCAGGTACCCGTCATCACCAACTGCACCCACGTCTGGTTCCTGCCTCCTCGGCCCGTATCCGTACTGACTGGACGCTCCTTCCTTTTTTTTTGTAGTTATGACACCACACCTTCCATTCTGCAGCGACCACTGCGCGTCACCGAGACCGAAAACGAGCCCGATGCGAAACGACAAAAGTCTTCCAATGGCGCCGCTGCCGTGACAATCGCCGACAAGGTTGCCCAGGAACAGTACACACTCCTCGATGACCTTGCTGATGATCTGCTCGCGGCGGCTGCTGATCAGCTGGCCGAGCTCGAGTCCTCACGAAACGGCGCCGGTGTAGAGGAGAACCACGCATTTGTTGATGGGCTCGTGCGGTTCAAGAAGAAGGCTCTTGAGCTATTCCGCCGAGAGAAGAACTATCCCCGTGGTGCATCCGACCCCCAACAGAAGATGCAACCCGACGCGGCCACCACCGGCCGCGTGGTCCTGACTCTCTCAGGAAGCGGCCGGCAGCTCTTTTCAAGTCAGCCTCTGCCTGCGCGTGCCCAGCAGGCTATCAATATCAGCGAGACCCTGTCCCGCTCAGTTATGCCTGTCCACGTCTCCTCCGCACGCATACTGCCGAGCCGCCAGACGGAGCGCACCTACACTCTTGGAGAGCTGTTCTCGTCGCCGCGGCCGCTGCCCCCCCTCCAGCCGCCGAAACAGCCGAAACCGCAGGCCAAGGGCAATGTCTTGAACTTCTGCCACCCAGAAATCCCCGCACCGTCCAAGTATCGGACAAATACCTACTTCACCCAGAAGGTCACGGTTGGCCACTTCCTCGATTACAGCAACGCCGCCTCCTCTACCTCGCAGAGCAAGGAGATCAAGCAGAGACAGAGAGCACAGAGTCTAGCAGGACACAAGCCGTCCTCGTCCGAGTTGGAAGTATCCGAGATGGAGAGTCTGTTCAGGGCTGCCTTTTCAAGCTTTGCTCCCTGCAAGGATGACTCGGCTGCCATGGTGCCCGCCAGCCTGGCCGGTCGCATGTACTGGCAGCAAACAGGTCAGCGAACCTTTAACCGCATGGTTGAAGCAGCACTTGAGGAGAACGAGGATGACATGGCAGGTCAGAAGCCTGATGCGACACCGCAGATTATGGATATTGATGAGGAGCTCATCCAAGAGGCGATCGATAACTGGGACGACAAGATTGACCCGGCTCTTGAGATCTGGGGCCCCCAGAAAACTGACGAGGAAAAGGATACGGAGGAGCTCCTCAAAGAAGTGGACGACCTCATTTTCACGCTTGCGTCCTATCAGCGGATTCGCAACACGTCGCTGCCATCTTCGCACAACAAGTATGCCGGGGATCCCAGTGGTGGCGACATGCTCGCGAGCGGCACCGGAGCAAATCCCTCTGAGGAGGAGATTGCAACGTACGAGGCGCTCAAGGCGCAGTTGGGTCTCATCGTCAAGATGCTGCCGCCATTTGCCGTCGCCAAGCTCAACGGTGATCAACTCAATGATCTTCTCGTGAGCACTAACCTGGAAGTCCGCACAGACCAGTACAAGGGCGTCATGGAAGATGAAGGCGCTGCTCAGGCCAGAGCACGCCAGCAACACGGTGCTGCTTCTGCTGCCACCGGCACGGCTCGGCCGTCCGGAGCTCACCGCACGCCCAGCGCTCCGTCGTACAATTATGGCAACAACCAGCCGTACGGCACGCCAACACGGCAAGGGGGCCCTCCGCAGTACTACCGCGGCAACACGCAAACCCCGATCCAGCAGCAGCCGCATCTGGGACGGCCCGCCGCTCCCCACACTATGCCGCATCCGCAATACCGGCAGCAGCCGCCTCCTCAGCAGCCGCCCCAGCAGGGGCAGCAGTTTCCGGACCCAGAATACCTACCCGAACAGTACGCGGCGCAACTGGCCAAGACCCAGACACCGTTTGGTCACCAGAACGTGCCTCAGTACGCGACTCAGCCTCGCCCGCAACAGTACGCGTACAACAATACCGGGCCCCAGGCATCCCCCACAGCTCGCTTCCAGCCGGGCTATGGCCAGACGTACCAGCCCAACCAAGGCGGCTACACCAATGGCGCTCCGAACATGCAGAAACGTATGTCCCCACAAGTTCCGGCGGGCCAGTACAGCCCGTCACCACCGCTCTCGCAACAGCAGCACCATCAACCCCATCCTCAACACATGTCGCACATGCAGCACCAGCAGCCACGAGCACCCTATGGCTCGCCCGCCAATCGTCCACAGTATCCCAACGGCACGCACTCCCCTGGACCAAATGCGCATGTTCAAGGTCGTCCCGCCCCCTACATGAACAGCGTCACCGACCAGAACCAGCAGCGATTGCTTGAACAAGCACGCGCCAGGGCCACCGCCCAGCAGAACAGCAACGTCTTTGGCGACAAGATGCAGCAGGGCGGCATGGCCAACCAAACGAGCTACAACCCCGCTCAGCTCGCCGCGCAGCAGGCCCGTCTCGTCAACAATGTGGCCAACAAGCCGCAGAGCCCCGCGCCGAGACAGGGTCAGAACGGGACGCCGACTATTCCTGCGAGGGTCACGCCTGTGCCGGTGCCTGTCATTCCTGGCGCGCAGCAGCAACAGCAGCAGCAGCAGCAGCAGCAGCAGCAGCAGCAGGGCTAGGAGCAATCGACGTAGATGCCCAGCATCGAGAGGAGGGGCCTTATGTACGGTAAAGCCGTTTGCTTGTGAGGACGGAAGAGAAAAGCAGAAGCAGGACAAACGAAAGTGGGAGATACGTAGCCGTTCGTACCAGGAGGTTTGTAACTTTTGCAACAACAAGGAGAAAAATTCTCAGTCAATGGGAACGAGAATGGATTCGCGGCTCAGCAGTGGCAATATTTCTTCGGCGTTTCGGGCGAGGCGGGGAAGCGAAGGTTATCGAGGGCTGAGACGGATGTGGGAGGGGAAAACGGGGGTGGGGGAGGCGGAGGGCGAGGGCGAGGGCGAGGGGGACAGACATCATAAATCATCGAACGGATGAAGGGAATGGGGAGACAAAGACGGACGGGTTCGGTGAGGAGACTTTTGTCCCCCGCGTTGTATAGAAGTTGTTTGCTTTTTTTCGAGATCCGCCAACACGCCCCCTATCCCCTCCGGCCTAGCTACTTGCTGCCTTCTGCAGTGGGTGGTTTTTGTTTTAATATCAGTATTGCTGTGTAACTCTGCACATGTGTTTATTATCTCGTCTTTCTCATTGTCTTGTGGCAGAGGGGTCAATTTATGGTGACTGTTGTTTTCGGTCAACATGTTTACTCTACTTCTTCGGTACATTCCACTGTACACATAGCTGTACATCGTGCTGTCACACTCACACCCTCATGCCCTGCACGACTCGATGGCGCGACTTTTCGCCCTCCGTCTGGCGCCACTCGACCTCGTCCCGACAGACATAGCGCCAGCTCGCGCGCTCTTCCGCCTGCGCGACCGCGTCGGCCCCAGGCCGCAGCTCCCTGCGATACTCCAGCAGCGCGCCGCCATCGCCGCCGCAGTCCTCGCGCTCCCTCGCGACGAGCTGCACGAAGTCCTGCAGCCGCCCCAGGCGTCCAGAGACGTCGCTCTGCGTAAACGTCGCGACCTCGTCGTCGCTCGGCCAGTAGAGCCAGCGGTCCCGCTGCCCAGCCTCGACGACGGCGCGGCGCAGCGGCGCGACGACGGTCTCGTCGAGAAGGGGCTCGGCGAAGGCGCGGAAGGTGTGGAAGACGCCTGTGAG